CCGGGCGGGGGGCGGGATGATCCCTGCAGCCATGTCAGCACGCAGGGGCACCCCAGGGCCTGGACTTACCCTGCGGGCAGGGATGGTGGGGTGAGGGTGGCGTGCACCCCGGCACCCTCCCCGACCCACTGCCCTGCAGCGGCACCCGGCCCTGAGATGGCAGGAGGGCTGTGTCATGCCACGCTGTGGCCATGGTGGGGCTGCAGGGCAGCTGGGCTGTCCCCCACAAGCCATGGGACATGAGGCAGTGGGGATGTCCCCACCAAGTCATGGGACATTAGGCAGCAGGGATATTCCCACCAAGACGTGGGATATGGGGCGGTGGGGACATACCCCCTGAGTCATGGGACATGGGGCAGCAGGGACATCCCCACCAAGCTATGGGACATGGGGCAGCAGGAAAGTCCCCACCAAGCCATGGGATGTGGGACAATGGGAACATCCCCACACCAGTCACAGCATCTGGGGCAGCAGGGAAGTCCCCACCAAACCATGGGAGGTAGGGCAGTGGGGATGTCCCCCTGATGCATGAGCCATGGGGCAGCGGGGATGTCCCCCAGAACTGTGGGGCAGCGGGATGTTCCCCTTCACCCAGGGGCCGTGCATGGAGGTGAATGGGGCTCAGCCCCCCGCCACCCTGGGCTGAGCCGTCCCTGCCACCCCAGGCTGAGCACCTGGGCCACTGAGCCCCGAGCCCTGCCCACGCAATGACCCCATAGGTTTCCCTGCAATGGGGCAAACCTGGCCACCTCCCACACCGCCCTGGTGGGCTCTGGTCATGGCTGGGTCGTGCTGAGCTGGATGAGGCCCTTCTGTTGTTAGTGCTACCTGTGCCCCAGGGTCCCCAGCCCTGCCTCACTGCAGGGCATCCCCAGCCACCTCCCTGGGACTGCCATTGCCCCAGCCCCAGCCCCAAGAGGGTCTTGGGGCAGGGAATAAACCCTGGGGGACAAGCCCTGCTCCTGCCATGCCAAGCACGGTGCTGGGCCCTGCACCCAGCCTGAGACAGCATCGTTGCCATCTCTGGGGTCACTGTGCATTCCTCTTTGTGCCGTCCCCACCGTAGGACCCCCGGTCCTGCCTCCGTGCTGCCCCAGAGTGGGCGGTGGGGGGCTCAGCCTCTGGAGACACCACACACCTCCAGGCTGCAGGGAGAGGGGAGTGGGGCCCCCCCAGCGACAGAGCCAGCCTGCCCTGCTGCCACCCTCAGCCAGAGAAACGCCCCAGTACGGGAGGGCATCGCCCGGGACCACGGCTCGGCACTCACCTTGGCGCTGCTGCCCGGCCATGCATAGGCTCCCGCGCCGCTCTCCCTTCCCGTCCCTCCACCTGGGCCTGAAGTATTTATAGCGGAGCAGCGAGCTGACGGCTGGCAAATATTTGGTAGCTGTATTGTAATAGTAGACTCGGTAAACAGAGCTGGGGTTTGCTTTAGCACCCAGCAACGGGAGAGCGGCGCGGGGAGGGACGCGGGGACGGAAGGCAGGGCTCACCTTAATGGTTCACTAGCCAGGGGATTTTCAAGTGTTGTTCCTGTAAATTCACCTATTAAATCGGCAGCCCCAGCTGCCAAACTGCCCGCGCACTTGTGCCGAGGGCTCTTATCTCCCCGCTGATTGGAGGCGAAATCAAGCTTTGTCAAATAGGCGTAAAATTAAATTTCATGCTATTTTGACTCCTGGAGTAGGGATCTTCTGAAGAACATACTGCGTATCGAGCGATGCCTCTGCAAACAGGC